ACTTTCTCGGGCCTGTAGCCATATTACTCACCCTCAAAGAATTCATCAATATTCAACTGGCTTGCTAATTTGCTGATGTAGCAAAAGGAGTTTAATAAAGAAAGCTGTTGCCATTTTTCTTTAGAGGACATGCCACAAACTCAACTTTCATCTTACAGCGGGAGAATCTTCTGAATTTAGGTAAGGAAATGAATGCTTACATGCAGCAACCCAAGTAAATTTTCACACCAAGCTGAGCCTTAAAAAGCCCAGAGAAAGCCTTTCACCCCAAGGACACAGGGGCTTTATAAATGATCTATCTGAGGATTTAGAAACTTGTTCTGTCACGTCTGGCAGCCCGGCAAACTTTCAGCCATGTCCACGAAAAGATTTTGAAGATGTTAATAGGGGAATTTTAGCTCTTAGTATCAGTTTTTAGCGCCCGCCGAAATCGTACACGTTATCAGCCGTTTTAAACCCTTTCCTGAAAAGAAAATCTTGGTCTACAAAATCTTTTTGGTTAACTTCTCAAATTAACTTTGCAGACCCTAGAAGACTCCACTCTTCTGCCCTCTGGCCCCTTCGCATCCAAAAAAACCCACAGACGCCGGCAAAAGGCCGCGGGCGGATTGCACGCCTTGAGTCTTCAAGATCGCCCTTGCAAAGGAAGTCAATAGAAGTTTTTACATCAGTTCTACAGAAATAGCAGTAAAATGCATGCGAGAGTTAAGTAGCCCAAAAAACAAGAACGGAGCACCGCGGAATCAGTGGTTTTATTTTTGAATACTGATTTGGTGTGCGTGCGTGCGCGCGCGCGTGTCACTGTTGCCGTTTTCTTTCGGCACCTGACTTTTCTTCCCACAGCCCGCACGCGGTTCTCGATTATCTGGTGAACAGTCTACCGGCTGCGACAACTTCGGCTTCCCTGGGGAAGCGTAGGGGTTCCTGGCCACCGCCGCAGCTATAAGCGCGCCACTCAGTTTCCTGCGGTCGGCGAGTTCCCTTATTAGTCCGCGGGCGTAGCAGAGCCTATCCGGTCGAGTCGGGCCCCCGGGCAGCAGAAAGACTCCAGAGAAGCAATCCCCAGCCTGGGTCTCCAGGCAAGCAAGCCCCGCAGCTCCTCCGCTGCTCCTCCGCAGCGCATTGTGCCTGGCTACCCACCTGTCTGGGGTCCCCATGGCCATTCCGGGCCTTCGTCCCTTGCTCTGGGCCTTGTCAGCTTCAGGCCAGCGCTACCCATTGCTCTTCCCGTCCAGATCCCACTGAGTTTGAGCGCTGCTGGCTTAAAGATTTGTCTCACCCGGGACAGGGGGTGAAAAAGAAGCCGCGTTCATTTTCCACGACGGCGTACAGGCACTATTTTATAAGTGGTTTCTCTCAAAAATTTTATTGTGACATTTTGCAAATATACAAGAAAATTGAAAGAACAGTACAATGAATGTCTGTTTACCCCCCCACACACACACACCAGGTAGCAACTAATGTTAGTATACTGCAACTTTCTCTCCCCCCTCCTCCATGCGTGTGTGTGTGTGTGTGTGTGTGTGTGTGAATGTGAGCGGATGTTAGTTTAGCTGCATCATTTGAAAATTTCAGACATCGTAACGTTTCACTTCTCTACACTTCGGTATGTATCTTTTGCGGATAAGGACATCATCCTACCTTCAATGCCATTCTCACACCCATTAAATAACATAGGTCCCTAACGGTATCTAGCATCCCAGAATAAGGGCTCGCTTTCTCTTCTGTTTCTAAATTTCAATTCCCTTCAGTTTCCCTTCTTGGACTGCACACATGTATAAAATATTGCTCCCTCCCTCCGGGCCGTGCCCTCAAAATGGACCATCAGGACCTAAGGGGGCTCGTCCGGTTCCAGGGACTTTTCTAAAGAGAGCTTTGTAGCGTGATCAGGTCAGGGGAGTCCCAACAGATCGGGACTCAAATGCGTGGCGAGAGCGTTATGCTCACGCAGTCTGAAGTCCCCTGTTTCATCTCCCAAATCATTTCAGACATACCCAAGAAGCACAACTCAAGAGGCTTCGCTCAACCACCCAGCAGCGCCTTGCTGGCAACTCAAAGGACAGCATGATAGGACCAGTGAGCGCAGGGTAGCTTCTGTCGGGTGGGTCTCTGGGTGTGCCCTTGGCTTAGCCATTCTCTATTTTCCCTTTTTTTTCTCCCTGGACCCCTGCTATTCTGCTCTGCATTCGGTTATTATGGGCGCCCTGTGTCCTTCTTGGCCCTCACCGGCTTGGAGCCAAGGCTGTGGCGCTGAGCGCCTGCATACCGCCCCCCCTTCCCTACCGCTCCCTCTTTTCCCCTCCCCCCTTCCGCCCCCGGGCCCCAGAGAGGAGCGGGAGAACTGGGGGGCGGGGAGCTTGAGCACCGCGTGGCCACGCCCCCCAAGCCGGCTTTTTCTAGGACCGCTCCGGGAGCCTCTCTGCTGGCTGCTCCTGCTCGCTCCCTGGGTGCGCACCGCTCCTGCCCTGCGCTCTGCTCAGCTCTGCTCGGCTCCGCTCCATTCCGCCTCCACCACGCCTCTCTCCGAGCTTCGGCCACAGCCAGCGGAGCGCGCCCGCGGTGCCGCCACCCCAACCCCCGGCTCTGGGTGCCTGTTGCTCCGTGCCAGGCACCTCGCGCCGTGCGATCCCACCGTCTCCCAAGTCCTGGCCCTGTTCTGTGCCCCGGCCCTCGCCCTCTCTCGCTGTTTGTCTGTCGGTTTAGCTGTCTTTCCGCCTCCCCACCCACCTTTTCCTTCCTCCCTGTCTCGCTTGCTTGTTCCTTCGCTAGCTCTCAGACGCGGCGAAGCAGCTTCGCAGGAAAATCCCAGAAACCTTTGCAAAAAGCTTACAATGAAATTTAAGAAGTTCTTCGATTTCGGCGCCATTTTCGAGTGGAACGAGAGGTGACATGCGATTTTTTAAAAAGGGACTTGTTGGCTGGCATTTTTCCCCAATTGTAACGTTGGTTATGGGAGTCTGAAACAAGTCTAGTGATAATTCTGAAAAAAGTTTTGTGTCGCTTTGGGGTGGGAAAACACGTTTGAGGGTTGGGCTTGGGGGGGGGGGGGAAATAGACCTTTAAAGTGTTCATCAAGTGAGCGTGGCCGGGAAAATTCTCAGGAAACGGGCTGAGAAAAGTTAACATTGGGAGGGGCTGGGAGAGAAAACTGAGTAAGGGGCAGTGACTGACTGTCAATCTCTCCCGGGTTGGAAACGACCTGTTTTGACGGAATGTAAATGGGTTTTTGGTAACTCGTATTTGTAAGCAGTAAAATATGTCTTGGGAAGAAATGTGAGAATAATTTTGCATTGCCCTTCCCGAATTACAGCTTTCAAGATTGTTTAGTTTTCCCTGTAGGAAACTTGACATTGGGAAAGTTTGGCCCGAATGCGCACAGAAAAAGCGCACCATGTGTTTGGGGTGTGGGGAACAAGATATTTGCAAATTTAAAAGACAGAACGTTTTAAAATATGAACAGAGGAAGAGGCGTATTCTTTGGCTCTTAAATCATTTGGTCAAACACGTTGCAGTTCAGAAGGGGGTGGGGCTATGGCAACTCGAAAGTATTGATTCTTTGTCTATTGTATCAGCGAATGACCCTCTCCTGATGTGACAAGACTCCTCTTTGTACTCTCTTTTCGTAAGTAAATTTCAGTCTCAGGGGACATTCATAAACTAGGGAATCGAGGTGGCTTTTTTTGGATGTAAGTCGTTGTACAGTCACTGAGAGAGAAGAAAGGGGTTAAGAGGAAAGTATTAATGAATTCGATTCCAGTGAGTTCACAAAGTAATGTGGAAGGACCTTCGCCTTTTGATACCTATGTTATTTCGAAAGAACTTTGCTTTTCCTAAGGGAATGTTAAATTAGAAGTGATTTTAACCTCTGATGTGATGACTCACATATTTGTGCAGGACATAAAATATTTAATTGGGAGAAAGTTACGGACTTCTAAAGTATAATCGTACATTTGCTAAACATGTTTTTTTTTTTTCTTTTTAAGGGCAACCAACGACGTTTTTCCTCCATTAATCCCAAAGGTCAATGTAAAAATCGTTAATATAGCCAAAGCAAGATGGAATTTAGAGACACTTAATTGTCCGAATTTAGGAAGTGGCATTAAATTGTAATTAATGACTTTGTTTATCATGATGAAAAAAGTGTATATGTTAGTAACAGATCTCAGGCTGTTGTTTTATGAATTTTGTACCTAATCTCATTAAGTACTCTGCATATTTTATTAACAAATAGGACACGACATTCATTACACTGGTTTAAAAAAATCCCACATAATTTTAAAATGAAACAAAAACAAATAGCAGATTTGGTTACTTTAAATATCTACTATTTGTACTTAAATGTATTTTAATTTTCAAAGCTACAATGGTTTTGTTCTTTTAACTTTTAGGTTTGTGATTCCAGGTTTAAGGGTGTTTTTTTTCCTTATGCTTACTTGAATATTTTGTTTTAAAAAAGGAGAGGAATGCATGAATTTATTGCTAATATATGTCCATTTTGAAAAGAAAAAAGTGGTATCTAATGAGTTAATCATTAAGGAGCATGCACAGTGCCGGCCATTTCAGGACGTGAGTTTCTGTGGAGCTGCTTGAGACAGGAAGGAGTGATTTGACATCAAGAATTTAAACTTTTTGATTTGTGTTTTGATGGGTGACATTGATAGGTGTAAATCACTTATAAATAAGTTTGAGTCCCCAGTTTAAAAAATTATCTCTCATTCTTTGCCATTAAAAAATAACTCAAAGTGATTATCGCCTTTAAATCATCCGTGTTTATTTTCAATAAATTAAAACGGGGCTTTTTAAAAAATGGGGACAATTAATGAGAAATAATATGCAGCAGGAAGAAGTTTCACCAAGACCTTGAAACTGGCAAGAGATAATGCAGATGTTGCCAAATTGTCTCGATTTATTTAATCTTATCTTTCGTGTATTTTTCAGAGGTAAGATTCTCTTCCATCCTAATTTCCATCACCCATCGCTCTGCATTTCAGCGCTGTATTCATCCTCCGCGGGTCGGGAGGGAATTGAGAGCCACACCCTTCACTCTGCCTGCAGATCCTGGAAATCAAACTGCGAAGTTATTAAAAGTACGTTAATTGGAGAGTCGTGTCTTAGTCTTTTACTTCATCCTCCCAATTGGGCGGGGCAGGGTGGGACTTCTTTCCTGTCACCTATTCTTTCTTCACCCGCAGGTATCCCAGAGCAGTCCCCCTTCGTTGACTCCGAGGGGATGCAGCAGCAATTCATGTTTTGAAGTGCTCTAAATGGTTCAAAACGTGAGGCGCTGCTATACCCCCTCGCGGGGAAGGTTGAAGGTGGGGATCTGCTGGATACCACCAGGACCCATTCCCTGCAAGGCAGCTTTCAGAACAGGTAGGTGGGGCGGGGGGGGGGGTCTTGTGGTCTGCGCCCTTTGCTGCCCAGGCAGCACCGCCTTAGTCGCCTTAGTCGGGGGAGGGCTACACTGTTCTGCCAGACTGGGAGGGGCAGCAGGTCGGGGGTCGCTTGTACGCAGGCAGTTCACATTGAAAAGGAACCTGGTGTCCCACACTCAGCACTCAGCCGTGCCCTAGCAGCGGGAACAGTACTGCAGTGATCCATTGGTGCCCTGGAGTATTGTTCCTGCTGCCAGGATAAGTCTGGGACTTTTCTACGGGCCCACCACCCAGGTAAGTCGCCTGCAGCATCTGCCCTGGGAGCACTCTCTTGGGACTAGCCAGTTTGTCCTCCAGGAAACGTTTGCCTGCCTGTCTTTGAATACGTGACTGGGTGTGACAGGCTTTATTTTAGCAGCCTTTTTGCCTGCCCAGGTAAAGAAAGCTGAAATGATGGGGGGGGGGGGGGGAGAAAGCCCTTTCTGATGACTTATTAGAATGCCACCCACTGGACATCGAGGAAAGCTCGTCTTAAGTCCCCAACAAGGAAACAGGTGGGGATGTGGGAAAGGAGTAAGGGGAGGCAGAAAGGGGGTTGACTGCCAGCTACCCCTAATTCTCTCAGCGGTTCCTGGTAAACCGGCTCATGTCCTTGAGTGGAAAGCACTTTTGACTTCAGGAAAGATTATGGGGCCCTATTCCCGCATCTCCCCTTCCTTACCTCTACTGTGTTGCGGGGAGCTTTCCTGGACTTCAGGTATCCAAGAAGGATCAAGCGAGGCCTTTCTGGAGGGCAGGTGAACCCAAGGCGATGTGGAGGGCAATGACCCTTCCCTAGGAATCTGAGTCTGCGGCCAGCAGGGACTGCAGTGACCTGAGGACAAGGCCCTGCAATGAGGCTCTGTGTTTCTAACTTATTTTTTCCGCCTCTCCCCAAATCGGGCCCCAGATTTCTACCCCGAAGGTGCGACACCAACCACACCTTTGTCACTCTAGAAAAATCACAGGAGGTCCCACTGGAAAGGCATTAGCTTCACAGCTCAGGACAGCACCTGAACTGTCAATTCAGGGGCCCTTAGTGATTCCAAACTTGTGGGCAGGTGCTATCGCTAATTAATGCTGCACATCAGCACCTCCACCCCTCATTTGACTGGCCCATTAAGCCTTTGGTGAGAAAACGGGGGAGGGGGGTTGTCGCCTAGGAACTTCACAGTTGACCTAGAAAAGAGGACTATCCCTATGAAAATCACTTTAGATCTGATTTTTTTTTTTTTAAATCTGAGGCCTGGTCAGGTAAATGACTACTGGCAAACAACGAAGGGAGGTGTGGAATCTTTTCCCACGTCTTTTTGTCATCTTAAAGGACAAAACCAAAACTTGCACACGCACACACGTAACCCTCTTGTTGCTATGAGACACCTTGTAATAGTCTTCCCGAGGGGCCGGGCGTGGGACCCTAATTTCCAGTTGGGGGGGAGACCCAAGGTTGCGAGTAGTCTAGAGCGGAGAGTCTGGCTCCAGCCGCGCGAAACATTTGCTCTCCCAGACTCCCTTGCGCCTGAGCAATGCAGTGTGCGAGGGAGGCTTGGGTCCCTTCGGGCCAGCGGGGTCCCTCAGGCTCCCAGGGGCGCTGCGACCTTGAGACCTCTGCAGGCTCTTGACTCCCTTGCCGCTGCGCTGCTATTCCCGCCCCCAATGGCCAGGGCCCCTCCAGCCAGAAGTCCCCGGGCGCGAATGGCGAACAGGTCTGCCTTCCATTGCACTGGGGGTTGGAATAGGACCACCAGGAAATTCCCCTTCTGCAGCTAACCAGCTTCCCTTTTTTTTCTTCCCGTTCTGTATGGTTCTCCTTCGAGCCAGGAGAGAGTGCCGCCCAAACTTCCTGGAGGACCTTGTCCACGCCATCTGGCTCCCTTCAGAGGGCGCCTGCAGGATCCAGGTGAGGCACCGATTGCGATTGATTGCGATTGCGGACCAGGAGGGGAGGAGGGCAGGGGAACGAGGGATCCTAATTTGGGGGCGTTACCTTCCAGAATCTGGGCGGCCTCTCTCAGGGCTCCCAAAAGGTGCCCAAATTGAGCTCGTCCACACAACCTCCTGATAGCATGGTGCCCTTCTGACTTAAAACATTCCTTCCACCTTTAATTACACAAAGTTGCAGTATGCCTAGATTTTCCTCCAAGGACAAAATTCTGAATAAAACAATATTTTAGCCAAACATTTCTGTGTCAGTTAAGAAGATGGCAATTCGTTCCAGACTATAAATTCTCTTTAACAACTCCCTAAATTATTTTTAAAAATTGTTTTGTTTTTCAACATTGCTAAATGTGCAACATAATGTATGGGAGACATATAAAGTGAATCAGTGTATAGTCAGCTGATTAATTGATCCAGCTTTACCACCCTCAACTAGACACCTTTCCATTGTTTGCCCAATTTTTCCCAACACATGGTATTTGTTAGTGAGGAAGCTGCTGGACATAAGGCATTGTATAAAGTTTATTAGACAGATGTGCTTCTTAAAACAGGAAAAGTTTGGCCTAACTCTAAATCTAAATAGACATTTCTATAAGTTGGGGGACAAGATATACAGGTTACTTTGATAAAGTAGAATTAAACATAATTTTGTAAAAACTTTAATCACAAGAATATTTTTTGAAGACATCCAACATCTCCAGTTAGCAGTACTGATTTTTTTTTTCCAATCAAGGAACACTACATCAACACTCTTGGCGGGGATCTGGACATGGAAGACTCCTGTTTCAAGAAAATATAATCATCTTTCAAAGGCTGTAACTTATATGCATTTCTAACTCACTAGGTATTGAAAACCACCCAAGTGTCCCACCATAGGGGAGTAAAATAGAATCAATCACTCAGTGTAATATTATACATCTTTAAAAATGTTATTGGAAAATGTTATATGATCTGTAAGTCAAAAGAATCCTCTCCCACCATTTCTTCCTGCTGTTCCCCCATACCCATGCTTCTTTGTAAAGTTGGCATGTAAATTTGTTTTTCCCACCAAATGAGTCAGTCACAATGGGAATGTCAATTGATTTGAACAGATGTGTGTCAATGTTACATGGAAAAATAGATGCCAATAACCAGGGCCACAGGAAAATGCAGTGGTTCCAACTCTGTAACAATTATACCTACACACAAACAAGGACAAATGTGGAACCCCAAATAGGAAAACAGTTGCATATTCTCCAGTGTGGGGAGATGGAAGGATTGTATACTGCTTTTGATTTCAGTTAATACAGGCAATGTCCAATTAAAAAAAACCCTAATAAGGACTCTGCATTGCAAATTATTTTGCTGAATGTTTTAAAACACCATGCCTGTCAACCCATCAAGGCAGAAGGAACCACAGGGGATTGGGTTTGTTCCATGAATCCTGGACTGTAGAGCTCAGGGCAACATTGGAAAAAACATGATCCTATTAGATGGGAGTTAACAGGCAGCTTTCCTGAGAGACTGTGCAAGAGGAAAATAAAAATAGGTTCAAAAAGCATGCTTGAAGCCAGACACAGTGGCCCATGCTTGTAATCTCAGCAACTGGGGAGGCTAAGGCAGGAGAATGGCTCTTTCAAGGATAGTTTCAACAACTTAGTGAGACCCTGTCTCAAAATGAAAAATAAAAAGGGCTGGAGATGTAGCTTAGTGGTAAAGCACCTCTGGGTTCAATCCCAGTAAAACACACACAAACACACACAGCATGCTTGGGGAAGATCAATGAAAGTTTATTGACATAAGTTAAAGTCTAGGACTATATCCAAGTTGGCATAAATTTCTAAAGATCTGTCTTTCCGTTGGCCTGCAGTATTAGTCTCATAACCCTAAAGTTTCATATACGCTTTTATACTTTATTACATTATTCTCCAATGAAAAACAGTATATATACACCAGTTGCAGAAAATGTGTATCTCCCCGCCCCTGTACCCCCACTCATGCCCATCCATTAGTTAGTTACTGCTTACTAAATGAAGAAGGATCTCTGGATTCTTTCCTGATAACCACCTATCCCTGGCTCCACAATTGATCTCTTTAGTAAATTCAAAAGGGCTTAAGCCCCATGAGAATAGTAAATTGAGTCCTTAGGGAGGAGCCCAGAAATAATTCTGCTTCCTGTGGTTGCTGCAGCCCTGGAGCACTCCCCTTAAACTATTGAGCTCTAGAATCTGAGCAACTGGTGGGAGAGTGGGGTGGTGGCCCTGCCTTCAGCACTAGAGTCAGGAAGCCAAAAACAGTGCATGCAGCAGGCTGAGACTTGGTTACTTTGAACTCTGGCTCTCCTGAGGCAGCACCCTCACCTGTTCTCAGTCCCCAACTCCACTCCTGGCCAGACCCTTGTGGCAGAGATACAATCTTCAGATTCATCATAATTCCAACATCTTGCTTTGTATGGTGCTTTTACCTACTTTTCCAGATGCTTTCCTATCTATTATTTGCCCCAACCTTGAAAGATAAGTAGAGTAAGGCAGAGAAAAACAATTACAAACAGAAAACTAGGATTCCTGGAGGTTAAGGACACATCAGAGACTAGCTTCTAGGACCTCTTCCTCTAAATCTATTAATCAGAACTGACTACACAGTAGTGACTGGAGTTGAAGTAGTTAGCATGTTTTGTTAGAAAATTTTCAGATTAAGCTGATTAGTCCAGGTGAAACTGATGATCTGGACACTTTCTGGGTGAGGCCCATGATTAGCCTCAGTATCACTAACTAATGATTGTAAGTTACCCAGCTGTGTATACAAGTCAATGGGCACAAGCCAAAAAAGTATGATTTAAATTCATTTGAAATCTTTAGCCCATATTTAATATTTTCTATAGATTCAGCCAAATTGAGGGAAAGCAAATGGAATGTCCAACCATAATTGTTAATTTAGTCCCTCACTCAATAGTACCTTTTATGGCTGTGATAACTGTAAAAATGACCTAGAAGCCTGTAAAATGCTTACAAAACAAGTTTTAAAAATCAGGGCCAGAAAATCCCACAGACTCCATTAACTGAAAACTAGGAGCAAAAACTGGAGGGAACATACAAAACAAATATTCTTGTTGCTTAATGGTGGTAGAATAGGACCAAAAGTTTCTCCTTTCTGTACTTTTCCATGTATTTTTTGTTGTTGTCATTGTTGTTGTTATGCTATGTTTTTTGTTTTTTTTTCACACTGTCAAACATAATTCTCTAAAAAGTCTTTAGGGGTCATGGGCGATACAGCAATTTTGGGCCAACGATGCAGAGACCTCAGACATCTCGGGGATCATCATGTCACGAGATACCACTGTGCACTTGTGACAGATTGATAACTGAAAGGTCTGGGAGCCACTCATCTTCATAGCAATATGTATTGTAAGTATTACAAGATCAGTCTATGAAAAGATCAGGAGGAAATTGGGTGCCATGCAGTGGGGAACTGAATGGTATTCTCATAGGAGTTTAGTGGAAGTGTCTTTATCTTTTAAATTTTTATTTAGTGAATTGAAATTTACACAGGGCATGTGATTTTATATTCAGGCTAGGATGTTAAAATGAAGAATTTAGGTTCAAGAAAACAACTGGAAATACATTAGCTGTAAGCATTATAGACACAAGGTCATCTTTAATGTGTTGACTCCATACAAGTAGCCAAGAAAAACATGAAACTGCGTGAACAGAAAGTCATAAAACCAGAAAAATATTTTCATTTCAGTATTTTTAAGGATGGAAATTGAGACCATCCTGAATGGCCAACAACAGAGGATTGACTAAATAAAATACAGTGTATTTAATACAATGGAATAGGGTGCTTTCATCTAAACTAATATTTCTAAAAATAACTTTTGTGACATAAAAATGTACTCACGGGCTGTAGATATAGCTCAGTTGGTAGAGTGCTTGCCTCACATGTACACAAGGCCCTGGGTTCAATCCCCAGCACCACCAAAAAAAAAAAAAAAAAGAAGTATGGTAAAATGTTTAGTGATAAAAGAAACACTTTTTTTGTTTTTTCCCTTCTCTGAAATATAATACATACAGAGCATTCTATCTTCATAGTTTTGTATCAATCTCCAGATAAAAGGCTAGGGGGAAATACATCAACACTTCATAGTGGTTATCTCTGAGTTATGATCTAATGTGTGATCAAAGAAAGATGTGAGGGGCTGAGATTGTAGCTCAGTGGTAGAGTGCATGTGTGAGGCCCTGAGTTCAATCCCTAGCATGGGGGGAAAAAAAAGATGCTGAACTATTTTTGCGATGTGTTCCTAATATGTAATAAGAATGTATTGGGAACATTTTGCATTTGTAGTTTTGTATCAATAATATGGAAAAAAGGCCAGGAAGAAGTAAACCTAAAGTTTGAAGGTGGTTACCTCTGAATTGTAGCACTATAAGAGATCAAAGAAAGATGCTAAACTGTTTTTGCGATGTGTTCCTAATATGCACTATGAATATATTGGGAACATCTTGCATGCATAGTTTTGTATCAATATACAGGCAAAAGGATGGAGGGCAGAAACAAAAAATAAATCTAGTAGTAGTTATCTGTGGATTGCTTTCATACTAAAAGTAAGGTGCAGAATTATTTTTGCAATATGTTCCTGAATATGTAATATAAGTATATATTGGGGACATTTTGCATGCATAGTTTTGTATCTCTCTATGGAAAAAAGGCTGGGAAGAAATATAACAAAATGTGAACAGCAGTTATGCCTGAGTTTCTAGTATCATAAATGATGCTTGTTTTTCTTTTTATACTTTTATGTATTTTCCAAGTAATTCTTGTATAAACAAAATGTGTTACTTCTATAGCAATAATAAAGCTTATTTTATTTTTAAAAAGAGTTTGTATTTAAGTTCTCTTAAGAAGTCTGAATCCTTGACCTGGGGATGGGGGAAAATTCCTGTTTGAGCATCAGTGAACCTAGAATACATTTTCAACCTATCTTGGAAAACCTTGCAAAGCTTCAGTTGGATTTACAAGTACAAATGTGTCTTTCCATTTGCTCTTGGCAAAAGAAAAAGTCTACTTTAAAAATATAACCATGGGGCTGGGGATGTGGCTCAAGCGGTAGCGCGCTCGCCTGGCATGCGTGCGGCCCGGGTTCGATCCTCAGCACCACATACAAAGATGTTGTGTCCGCCAATAACTAAAAGAAATAAATGTTTAAAAATATATATATATAACCATGGCAGAATAATAATAGTAATATTGCTAAACAGACTGCTATCTCCTGTCTAATCAAAGGAACACTTTAAGAAGTAAAGAAAGTTGAAACAGGCTCCTTTTCCTCTAGGAGCAATTCAGGAAGGCGGTGCTTGGATACTTGTCCAAGGTCTCATGACACACTTACCAGTTTGGTACACACCTGCATGCCCCCTGCATTTCCCCACAAATTATGTCAAGCTCCATTAAATTGGGTTGGAGGGCACATGTGAACTTGCCCCCGCCCCACCTGCCCATTTTAAGCAGTCCTTGCTCTGGTAAGAGATGAGACAGAACTATTTGGTAACATACCCAGCCCATGATCTGACAAGGCACCTACCAAAGGTTTTAATATCCCTCAATTGCACCACATTAGAAGAGGAATTAGGGTTCCCCCCAGCCTTCTAAAATCACTCTGGGGGAACTGTTTTCCCCCAAAGAATCATTCCTACTCTAGCAAGTCCATATCACTAGACATTATTTTCAAAATATATCTGTCATACTCCTTAAAGCTGAAGTCGCACTCGTGAGGCAAAACTATTCAATTATAAAGAGATATTCAGGGGCTGGGGCTATAGCTCAGTTGGTAGAGTGTGTGCCTCACATGCACAAGGCCCTGAGTTCAATCCCCAGCACCAAAAAGAAAAAAATTCAGACCATTCTTCCTGTGTCTTGATGCTATATGCCCTCATTCTGCTTAGCAATAAATAACTACAGCTCAACTTGTCCTTTTGCTGAAATGTGTACGCTTCTCTTTTAAGTTTTTCAAAAGCATTTTTCCTTATCACATTATATTAGAGCATATTGACTTGGTACCTAGCTCTGTACTCCTTAACTTGTGGGAAGGGAGAAGGATGGGAGAGAAGCAAGGGTTAAGGCAATCCTGAGCCAGAGAGGCCTTGAACAGTGGAATTCCTTCCTCTGTCTGCCACCTGGTACTGAGCAGGAATCAGCTGGGGCTTTGACCTTCTTCTGAGCCATGTCTGATTACACAGAAAACTTGCTTTGCTAAGCTCAGTGATCCAAGTGGCCTCCTCTCCCCTAGGCCTCAATCTGGTTACTGGTAAACAAAGTGTGTGAAACAGGGGTAGAGTATGGGTGGGAC